AAATTTGATTAAAGTTTGATCAATAGGTTTTTTGGAAGATTTTGAAGACATAGAAGAAGTAGATACTTCGGATTCAGAATTTATTTCAATTCTATTTAGTTGAGAACATATGGATTATAAAATAATATTGGTATACTAATTTGAGCTTGAAAAATTTTGATATCGTTAGCGACGATTTCAAATTCATCTAGATGTTGTGTAGATATTTTTTTGAGAGGAGATGCAAGAATTTCAATATTTCATTGAGATTCCACTTTTTCTTGGATAGGGGAATGAGAAGAGTGAATAGTTTTCAGTAGGTGTTTTTCAAGTCTTTTTTGAAATATTTGTATTTTGAACAGTTTTTGTTTTAGTGGGCCTTTTGTTATAAACATTGAAATAAGCTCACTCGTAAAAGCTTAAATTTTTAGGAAAAACATAAAATTCTTCCCAAAAAGATTCAATTTCTTCTTTTTTGAAAAACTTTTTTGAAAAAATTTTCTAAAATTTTTGACTTCGTAGATTGATCTGTTTTAAATTCTTTTCTTCTATCAATAGAAGAAGAAATAACATTAAATTGTGATCAAGTCTTTCTGAAAGCGGAGGTAACATGTCAGATAAAGTTGGTGAACCAGGTTTTTTGACTCTTCTTCTTTATCTTCTTTGTTAAATTGAGGTTTTAGAATATTTGGGTTAAAATCAACTCCTATTTTGAAGATGTTGAGAATTTGGCTGATTGAAAAGAAGTATCTTTAAATCTATCTTTAGATCTACCAGAGTAAGATCTTTGAAACTTTAAAGAATATGAAGACTATCCTTTAAAAGTCATCTTAATATTTCCACAAGGAAAAGCAATGATTTGGATAGGAGAAGTTTGAACATGAGTAGGAATAGGATTTTGAGCGTTCTCAAAATTTCATTCAAGTCCTCTAGATTGAAGATTCCAAGGTATTCTTTTCGGAATCATAATATTGGAATGAAAAAAATTTACTTCAACCAGAAGACTTTCGTCTTTTGGTGATGAACGAAGAGCACGAATATGAGTATTTATATGCTTGTAATATATTTTATATGTTACAGCAAAAGCATCTGAACGGTCATCAAAGTCAAGATTTTTAGTTTGAATATGAAGATTAAGAGCATTAAATATAGCTCCATCATTAAGATTGATAGAAAAATTTGGATAAAAATTTAAAAATACAGGATCACTTTCTAGCTTTGACACTAAAACGGATAATAATGATTTTCAAATTTGAGGAGTCTCTTATCTCTAAGAGTTAAGAGAATAGAAATGTCTAAAACAAAACGAAATAATGGTTTGACAGCAATTTGAACTAATCCAACATGAAAATACTTGAATTTATTTTCGTAGGATTCAATAGCATCCTTCGAAAACAAATTAATATAAACATCTTGACTCTTGATAGGTATTGTTTGTTCAAAAGTTTTAATAATATAATTTTGAGTAAAACCAAACTTTCCTATTTCATAGATAGAGCTTTTTTTTACCTTTGGAATAATCTAGATACGAAATCTTTGTTCGATTTGAGCTATTTGAAGCTCATGAGAATTGAAATCATTTGATGCAGATGCTTGTTCTAATTCTTCTTCATTATGAAAAACATTTGATATATTTTCAGGTCTACTACTAGATCTTCTAAACCAATTTGAAATTCATGACATAAATAAATAAAAAGAAATTATAATAACTTACCATAGTAGATACAATGCTACTGGATAGATGATAAGTGCATTTTGTGCACTTATTTATGTCACATTACTAAACTGTATGTCGTCAAATTAGTGATTTTATACTTAATTTGAGTTAATTTAGTTTGTTTTAGTGACGGACTCGTTTAAAGCAATTGGAAAGGAAGAATGATGAAATTGAATGATATCGAAAATTTTGGGGATCAAAGTCTACACAATTGATGAGTTCAAGGACTATATTGCGTTAACTTAGAAGATTGGATGACTTGAAGAAGATAGTAAATTAATTTGACCTCAATTGGACTTTTAAGTGGAATCTAATCAAATCATTAATGGAACTTTATTAGGCTCAAACTTAGGGCTGTTGAATTGATATATATATAGACACACACACATTGAGAAGACGGGCAGCATTGGGGAGACTAACCTAGAGAGAAACCCAAAAAAAAAAAGTGGCTGCTGTTGGAAAAAGACAAAAAATGGGCTGCTGGAATTGAATACATACAGACAATTGCGAGGCTTGCTGCTGAAATATATACACATGCACATTGGGCAGCTGGGAAGAAGATATATATGTGTATATATTTGACACGAATTTGGGCGGCTGTTTTAGGGAGAAAAAAAACACAAAAAAAAAGGCAGCAACTTTGAGGCTGGCTTGGGGGCTGATTTAAAGAAAACGGCAGCTTCTAGAGACAATATTGGTAGCCAGGTTATAATATATAAACACACAAAAAGTGCAACCAAGAGAAATATATCTTTACACGCATACATGGACTGAAATTAAAGGGAAATACACACAACACACGGAAAGAAAAAGGAAGAAGATAGACGGCAAAACATAGAAAACAACGAAGAAGAAAAAGACGGTGGATTCACTTTGCACGTTTTTTCAAATTTTTGTGATGTCTTTTAATTTTTGCATGTTTAATTCCAACATCATGCATGGCTAGATTTTTAATGCTAGGATATGATGAGCACTTATTATGAATTTTTGGGTTGAATACTTAGATTGACGTTAAATTTGTTTGAATTCTTGGATGTTTATTATGATTTAGTTTGCTTTTCAAATATTTGGCCAATAATTGAATTATTTGTGGATTTTATTGTCATCGAGAAAGATAATATGATTGTTAGCACGTAGTAATAAATATTGTGAGGTACAATAGATTATATACATATATCTCTATGCTTCACATGGTTGTTAAAGGTGTTCTAGCTCTTTTAATGCGTTTATCATGTTTATATCGTTCATCGAGAGATAGGAATGTCACATATGGGAAATAGATTTGATAACTATCGAGAGAGGTTTTCAATTAAAATAGGAACATTGACCAACAAATATAATTTTAAGTTGTCAATTTAAATTGTTTAATTAAAAATTGAGTAGCAAGGGGAATTCTACTTCTTAGCAATACGACAAATTTAATAAAAAAAAATTTACATCGCTTTCAAGTTAGTTGATAGATTTAATAGTGTTTAGCTACAACTTGATTTTGCTATTCGATTAAGGGTATTGTTAGCTTTAACTCGACCAAACACATAGTTTTCATGAGTTTGACACTCTACACATCACTTTATCACTTGTTCACGATCCTGTTTACTTACGGATAATCAAACAATCAATGGATTGACTCTTACCAAGCCTACAATGAGACCACTCTAACACGCCTACACCGACTCAACACGGGCTGTCAACCGCTCTTCAGTAAAAAATCAAATTTTCCGTTGACACAGTATCCAAAATGAAAAATTACATTTTGATTTCTTAAATATTTATTTTGGATTGGTTTGCACTTTTTTGAAAATTAGAGATTATAGTTGAAATTAGTTCTTTAGTTTTTTTTTTCTTCCTGTTTTATTTAATTATGAGGGTGTATTTGACATTTCATAAGAATTTATTGAAAAAATAAAAGAAAATATGATAGTTTGCACCTCAAAAGTCATATAGGAGATTTCGACCAATTTGAAAAAGTTATGTAGGTATTTTAGGGATGACAATGGCGTGGGTCAGAGATAGGTCGAACATTCTTGTCCTTCATCTTGTCGGATAATTTTATCGCCTTACCTCACCTAATACTCGCTCAAGACGAGACGGAGCTGGTTCGAGGTGTGGTGGGACAAGCCCCCTGTCCTGTTTATATGGATGGCAATTCAGCTCGTCGGCTCGAGCCGCCCTAGCTCAACTCGGGAAAAGCCCAAGCTGGCCTGGCTCGAGGCTCGGTTCTACCGAGCCAATGCTCGAGCCGAGCCTCATTTTGAGAAGACTGGCCGAGCCTAAGCCGGCCTGCGAGCCTGAGGGGAAAAAAATAAATATATAAATAAATTTAGGTAGCAAAATGCTGCCTTAAGAGGCAGTCGCTGCCATAAAGGCTGGCTTTTAGGACAGCACAGCTACTGCATTAAGAGGCAGTCACAACCTACCATAAAGGCTGGCTTTTAAGATAGCACAATTGCTGCCTTCTGTGACTGCCTCTTAAGGCAGCAGCTGTGCTGCTAAGTGAGCCTGCCCGACTCGGCCCGTAAAGGCTTGAGCCAAAAGCTCGGGTCAAGTAAAAATTTTTTGGCTGAGCAAAGCTCAAGCTCGAAAAAAAGCTCGCTCACTTTACTCGAGCCGAGCCCAAGCCTCAATTTCGGCTCGCGAGTTGGCTCGGCTTGTTTACATCCCTACCTGTTACCACCTCATTTATTTATTTTATTTTTTACTTTTATTTGTATTTCTTTAATTGGAGAAAATCATTATTATTTTTTTAATTTGTTAAGAGCTTGTATTTCCTTTATTTATATATATATATAAAATAAGAAACCTAAATTTGAAATAAACTTTAAATGGGGCGAGTAGCAAGGCGGGATCAAGAATCCACTTCAAGGCAACAACTCCCACCTTGCTCTCATTTCGGGTCCTACTGTTATCGGATTTAACGAATTTTTTTGTCATACATAGGGTATCTGACCAACATCCATACGTTGGGAATATTATGTCAATAAGCCTATTATCTTACCAAAATTACAAGTACGTTAATAGCTTACATAAGAGTAAAAATTAATTATATATATATATATATATATATATAAAAGTTACATATTTTGAAACTAAAGTTTATTTTATTGTCAACTTATTTTCAATTAATAAAATGTTCAAGTAACAATTCATACTAACAAATCCCACTTTCAAGTACATTTTTTCTTCTACATCCCTTGTTCATTTGACGAGCGGTATCTGTTTCATCAGGACGTCAAGGCCGCATAACAAGAAGTATCCAGCATTAACATGTATTATGGTAATTAAAAAAAAAAAAAAGAAAAGAAAAGAAAAGAAAAATTTATACATTGCTAATTCATTTTATTCAAACTGATAAGTAGGGTAATTCAGCGCATCGATCTTCCAGTTTTATTCATACATTGTGTAAGCAGTCTCCCTCTCCACTACACCATTATACCCTACCTTTCAAAAGGTTAAAAAAGGAACCAAAAGACCTAATGGACATATTCAGAACACACATTACATATTAAGAACAGTGTAATTAAAAACAAATTCCACCTCAAGAGTGTGGTTGCTGATGAAACATGGCCGGTGAGAAGAAGAGGATCCAAGGTTCCTCTCAGCGCAAATAAGCTGGACGAATTTTCTTGCTGCTGACATGATCTCTTCGATCCAAACTTCTCCCATTCAGGTCGTATTTTATTTCTGATTTCAGTAGAAATTAAAAGAAATAGACCATTAAAAAAAGCTTTCTCAGAAAAATAAGTTTCTAGATCAGATAAGGGACAGAAGAAGCCATGCTTGAAGGATCTAGCCAAGTACCAACACCAGTTGTGTTCCATAAATGAGAAAGATAAGCAGAATTCATCTGTTCAATTGGGTTCATTGCTTGTATATCTGCAAAAGGGGACAACCCTGAAAAATTATTAGCTTCTTGAATATCTTTCAAACCTGTGGAAAAGATTTTTTGTTGATGAAGGCTAGAAGGAAGCAAAGAAGCCAGAGTTGAAGTGGCAGCAAAAGTTGAAGATGCAAATATAGAAGTGCTTGAAAGAACTGAACTTGGATTGATAGCATCTTGGATTTGCTCAGCAGAATTATAAGCATTCTTACAGTCACTGTGTTGAATATGATCACTAGCCATAAGAGCCGATGAGAATACATTAATGTGAGGCTGAATATTAAATCCCGAAATCCTATGAGAATTCCTCGGATATGAAAATTTGAGCTCGACTGGGTTAGTAGGCTGGCTGTACAGCAAAGGGTTGGGTTGGACAGTACTAGTTTTTGTAGCTCCATTTGAAGCCGAGGAAGGATTTGCACCCCCGATGGAGGCTGACTGCGGCTCCCGTTTCACCCTCTTGTTCCTCCTAAACCCGCCTCCAACCGGAACGTTTCTTATGGTTCCGCCTCTAGTCCAGTAACGCTTGCAAGATTTGCAAAAATGCCTTGGCTGAGACAAACTGTAATTATTGTAGTAGCAGAACTTTGTATTAATGGAATCACATCGAGGACACTTGAAGAGAAATTGTTCATGGCTACTTGGTTTTTCCATAACACTGCAGCTTGTTGAAGACATGAAGGTTTTCTCATCAATCTAATTTGTACAACTTCAGGATAAAAACAGTAAGGAAAAGGGAAGGAAGAATTCAAGATGGTCCTTACTAGTTTAAAAATAACAACACATAGGATATTCTTTGCCAAGAGGAAAGAAACAAATATGGGCCATATTTTGTCTTATAATGATCGAGAGAAAGAGAAAAGGAATGAACTTGTGGCCATTCATCTGTAGTTGAAGAGACATCAATCATCGTCTCACCTATGTCAAGTCAATTTACTAGAATTTGGTACGCGCTATTAGTATACAATGAAGACCATCAAATTTTTATAATACTATCTCTTTTCCCCAGGATACTGGATAAAAATTTCTCAAAACTGATGTGGTAAAGAAAATCGCAAGTATGGTTCTTTGAATGTATGATTATTACAGAAAACCATAAGTAATGTTGTCTTGTTACATCAACAGTGGAAGGTTTTTATTTCGTTCACCGTTGATAGGAGATCAGATCTGATCAAGTTTTACAATAAACAAAATTTTGGTATTTCTCACACTTCTAGTCTTTAGTTCCTTTCCAAAAAATAAATAGAAGTCTTCAGTTCTTATTCACGTGGACGGGTCTGCAATTTAGATCTTTTAATGGGTTTTATTTATTTTATTCTGCAATATAGTGTAATTACTTAGCATGTAGTGGAATTCTTAATCCAATAAATGACAGGAAGATAAAGTGAAATGTTACTGGTGAATTTCGTTAAGTCCGAGGAAGAATATTTACAAGGAATTGCACAACCCAAAGCAAAACCGCTACGTAAAACACGCATTACGTGTTACGGACGGATAGACATAACATAGAAAATCCATATAATCTAATGTCCTGGGCAAACAGCGAATCCCACTTCTTATTTTTCTTAATAAAAAATAATTGCTAGTGAATATATTTATAATAACAATATTAAATCAATGGGAAAACATGCTATTCTATGATGCAATCTTACATGACTTGCTACTAATAGAAATTTTGAATATTCTCCTATTTTCATGACGTACAAGTGAATTAAATTTGAGTCCGTCACATGCAGGTTAAAATGAACAAGTAGCCAATATTCAACATGCCCAACGCGTTCACCATAACAACATAGACATGTTCTATACGATATATAGTTGTAGGCATCGAGTTCAAATCAATTATACTAAAAAGGTCAACTCCTATATCTCTATATGAATCAAGACAAGCATAAATCAAGAGCACTCAATCACTAAAGAATTTAATTATGATAGCGATAATCATAAAACTTAAAAGTGTATATCTACCTTTTATCCAAATTGTCGAATTTTATTATGTGGTCTAAACAAATAACTCAAATTTTTTTATAACAAAAGTCTCTCGATTTCAAACCAATTATACAAAAAAAGTCAACCCTATATCTTTGGACGAATCAAGATAAGCCTTAATCGACAGCATTCTATCACTAAAGAATTCAACAAATGATTGCAATAGTGTATCTCTACATTTTTATCCAAATTGTTCGATTTTACTACGTGGTCTAAACAAATAACTCAAAATTTTGATAACACCAATTATACTAAAAAATTCAACTCCTATATCTCTGTATCAATTGGGATAAATCTTAATTAAGAGCATTCAATTCAATAATCATAAAAATGTATCTCTACCTTTTATTCAAATTGTCAAATTTTACCATGTAATCTAAACAAATAATTAGTCTCTCGATCTGTTAATATTCACAAATCCATGAATTAGTGTTCAAGTAATACAAATAATAAGTGTTTAGTATTTTAAATACAAAAATACAAATAAGTGTTTAGTATTTTAAATATGTTAATTTTGTATTAAGGATAGATTAGCCATTTTATTTTTCAGCTTGGACTATTTAAAGTTTCTTTTCTTTGTATTTTCATTGATTTAATTAACCGAGAACCCTAGCCTCTTTTTAGTGTTTCCTCTTTATTGGTATTATTATTTTAACGTGGTATCAGAGTTATCATCTTTGATGATGTTGAAGTGTGTGTGTGTGTGTAACTATAGAAAAGGGCTATGCTTTGGATTAATAAATGGGATAATTGCAGTAGAAACTCCAAACCTAAGAAATATTAGCAAACTTTCGTTTAATTTGTTGCAACCATTACCTCAAATCTTTCGAAACGTTGCGACGGAAGTCCTTTTGGATAGTTTCCATCCATTTTTCCGTCAGTTGACCCAAAAATTAAGTTTGACCATATGTTTTATATTTTAAAAGGGGCAAAAAAGTAATTATCTATTAAAATAAATTTTAGTTAAATAAAAAACAATCAAGAACAATGCCATTGTTCATCTTCTTCCCCAACCCTATCCTCCACCAATCCCCTCCTCCAACTCCAATCCTTTGTCTTCATTGTCTCTGCAATATCTTCCACTGTGATTTGTTTTCATGCGCTGTCCCAGCAAATGTGCAATAGAACCTACGTTTCGAATTGAATCTCTCAACTTTTCATAGGTGATTAACCTCAAAAGATGATTTCTTTGAAGTACTATAGTATAATTTGTGGTCACTCATATTTAATTCATTTTCCTCCACATAGCCATTTTTAAATCCTAAAGTGATAGCATTGCTTGAATTTATTTCGCAATTCAAATGCACAGAGGCTGCAATAGTTTGATTTTCAAACCAACCAAATAAACTATAATGTAAACCTTAAATTTCACAAAGAAAGAAACAAGGCACTCAAACAAAGAAAATATTTCTAACGTTGGCTAATTTGGTCGTCTAAAAAGCGAGAAAGAAAAGAAAAAAAAATCACAAAAACATAGAATTGTGGAAGAAGATGAAATGGGTAGGGACAGAGGTAGGACGGGTTTGGGGAAGAAGATGAAATGGTCTAGAAGCAGCCGCTACAGTAGCAACGACATATGATGGTAGCTCTGGAAGACGACGGTTTGGTTTGATTTAAGGACTGAGATGGGATAGGATGGAGTTGAGGGGTGGAGAGAGGAAGATGAATAAGGACTCAGGTTCTTTATTTTGTATTTTTTTGTAATTAATTTTTAACTTATTTTGATGCAGTAAATAGAAAGTTACTATTTTAACCTTTTAAAAATATTAAAAATATGGTCAAAGTCAAATGTCTTAGTCAACTAACAGATATTTAGATAGAATTGTCCAAAAGGACTTCCACCGTAATGTTTTGAAAGATTTGGGATGACAGTTGTAATAAATTAAAGGTTTAAGAAAAATCTGCTAATGTTTTAAAAGTTTGGAGCTTCAAATTGTTGGTCTCTTGAAATAATAAATTGGTGGTTTCTTTAATTTATAAATTGGAGGAAGTAGAGTATTTGGTGGTTGAATGAAAATCTGAATTCCTTGTTTGGAACAAATTCACAAAATTGCTTTCTAAGAGAGTGAGCCATGGATATGGTATACGAGCAATGGAGCCCCTCACTCCGGAGCTAGGGAACATGAAGGTCCTCTGTAGCTGGGACTTTGCTTGGTATTTGACTTTCTAGAATTTTTTGGAGGTCCTTCGTGTGGAATTAATTAGACTGGGTGGATAATTTTGATGTTGGGAATTGAATGTTTTGAATTGGTGGTCAAGGAAGTCAAGTATCCTAGTTTTTAATTTTATTTTATTTTTTGGCTTCGGCTAATTCTCGTTTGATTCTAATTTGAGTTTGCATCTTGATAGTGTATTTTTCATATTAGTGGTTATTTTTTTATTTCATAATGGCTGTACCTTCAATAGATCATCTCATATTTGAGCAATTTCAAAAGTTTTTAGCAACACGGTCAAATGCAACACTGCAACATGCAATGTCTGCTTCTAATATAGGTTTTTCATCCTCTAGTTCTTCAGGTATATCATGCTCTTTGTGGCTTTTAGGTTCTAGGTCTTCCCATCGTATGTTATCTAGTTTATCATCTTTTGTTTCATTATATCATAAGTCCTTTGTATTAGTTGTGACTACTGATGGTACCTCTATGCTTATAACATGTGTAGTCCTATTGATAAACACTGTTTGTCACTCAATGACGTCTAGCATATTCCTAATCTTACCTTAAATCTTTTTGCTGTTAGTCAATTATGTGAATATGGGTATTTAGTGTCTTTTTCTTCTTTCACTTGCTATGTACAGGATTTGCAATCTCAAAAGTTTATTGGGATCGGCCATAGACAAGGGGGACTCTATGTTTTAGATATGCTTAAAACACTAGAAATTGCTGCTTCTTGTATTGATTTGTCAACTTTTCATTTGAATCATTTGCCATAGACAAGGGGGACTCTATATTTTATTTATGGCATTCTCGCCTTGGTCATGTTTCAGCATTCTGTTTAAAGTTTTTAGTTTTACAGGAGCATTAGGAAATTTGAGAATAGATTATATTTCTGATTATAGTGGATACAAATTGGCAAAATTTTATGCGTTACCCTTTAATAAAAGTATCTCTATTTCTGTTGTCGCATTTAATCTTGTTCATTATGATGTATGGAGACCCTCTCTCGTTACCGCTAAAGGGGGCTACGCTCATTACTATCAGGTTTTTCTTATGAAACGTGCTTCAACTTCCTTAGTATTTCATTCTTTTGGAGCGCTTGTAAAAATTCAACATTCTGCTATTATTAAATTTTTTTTTATGTGATTTGGGTGAAGAGTATACATCTAATGCTTTTTTAAGATATACTTGCTTTGGATGGAATAATTCCCCTAACTACTTGTACAGAAACTTCCGAACAAAATGGTATTCTGAAAGGAAACATAGACATCTTGTTGAGACAACCCGTTCTCTTTTACTCTCTATTTCTGCTCCTAGTGAGTTTTGGGAAGAAACAATTCTTACTACTACTTATTTGATTAATACGATCCCAACCTCAACTAATTCAGGTTTATCTTCCTGTTCGTGTGAAACCCGAAAGCGTACGGGATCGTTAACAAGTAATAATGAAGTGAGTTGTGAGTTATCATCCCACGAGGAATAATGTTTAATTCTAGTTTACTAGTTACTGTTAAATTCGAATTATGAAAAACAAAAGTGAATTTTTATTTTATTTTATTTATACTAAGCTAATCTAAGAAATATGGAAAAATTGGGTTTTTGTCAAATTATGGAGGATTGTATTGGATTTCGACTCCGCCTATTGCTG